ACGGTGGCTGCACCTCCACGCCCCCCCCCCCCCCACTCCAAATGTGGTATGTCCGTTGACGTCTTCACGTCTAATCTAAATAACATTAGAAGTGATGACTTTGTGGGTCCTTAGACCGCCACAGCTTTGGGGGAGAAGAGTGCTTGTCTAGCTGTCAGGTGGGACTAAGTATTGGGTGAGTAGATCTTCTTTATTTTTGCTCCCTAGGCAAAATTAGCAGTTAACCCTTGCAGTGCAGAGGTCACTCCACTGCAAGGGCAAACTTTTCCAAATCCTGGAGTTCCACTTTAATCAATAAACTCTGAATATTGCTGTATCTGAATATGTTGCTGTGTACCTTTGTTATAAGCTTTTTTTTTTCTTCACTTCTGCTGGCATATCTGTTACTGTATAATACAAGGAGTCTTAAAAGAAGATCTCTGTGCAATGCAGCTCAGGATGAACCTGTCCAATAAGAAAGGTATCATTGCACACTGCAATACTGCGTTTTTGTCTTTTTTGACATCTTACATATATATATATATATACAGATTGTTCAACAATAGGCTGCTGTAGAGGTATCCAAACATTATCTAATTACTAAAGTTTCCAAAGTGCTCAAGATTAAACTAAATTTGCAGGAAAACAGTTGCTATCATCTACAGTGACATATGATATAACCTATGGTTTTTGAGGGTCTTAAAGTAAATCTGTGATTTGCCCATGCAGGGCAAAGCAATAGGACACTTTACTGCAGACCTCACCAAGAGCACATGCCTACCGTGTGTCTTCACTCCCTTGTTGTTTCATTTAACTGCGAGGAATGATAGGAAAGCTCTTTGTAAGTGGAGTTGCAGCTTACACAGTACTATAGGCTCTTCCATACCCATAATTACAGGGTATTTCCTTCCTTCCCTAGGGCTGAACATGGAGTGAGGTAAAGGTAAGCATATGCTGCTGGGAATGAGGGAAGGCAGGAGTTTTCTTTTGGATCTATTTACACTGTGTTGTGTGTTTCTTTTTTTTTTTAATGCAGTGACGCTGAATGTGCTGTCAGCGCACCTCAGTAGCTGTACATTTTGGTGTATTAACATTTTTGCATTATGGCGTTCACTGTACATGTGTATGAATAATAAAATGAATAGCAGCGCAAAACACAAAAGTCTGAGTGCAGCCTTAAACTTCATTGTAGAGCACTTGAGATATAACATACCTTAATGCCTTTTGTGTCCTCTTCATCAAAGGAGCCAATGTCAAATGCATCAGCTGCATTTACCTCTCCTCGAGGAGGAATCAGTGGTGGAGGGTACTGAAAAACATAATATATGTTCCAACGATCAATTACCAATAGGTAAACTTTCATACCTTCTGAAATGTTAAATGTCTGTTACAGTCTATATATTACAAAAATAATTGCACCATTTGCCCCCTTTTTTGGAGTAGACAAGTACAATGTACTATGTATACTTGCAGTACCTCTGTAGTATCCTCAGCCAGATATACTAATGTACAATTCTTGATCTCCCCACTGTTCACAACTTACCCATATTTTTCCAGTCCCTGTGCTCTGCATCTTTTGAATGGAAGTAGTAAGCCCTATACACTTTTGGGATTTCTCGGATTACCAAAGAAGAGCACAGGGACAGGAAGCATGTGGCGACAAGAAGGGAAAACAAAGAACGTGTTGCTACATATCTGGTTAAGGATGCCATTAAGTTAATTGTAATTTACATGCATCTCCCATAATGCTTCACATCTACTCCTCCTGGAGTAGTACTTTAATTTTACTGGCCTAAAACAAGCATGCAAGTAGTGAAATGTTAGGACAATACCTTACAGCTCATACATGCATAGTTTGTTTTTAGTCAGTGAAATTAGGGGGTCTATGTATTAATTTTCAAGATTCACACAACTTTCACCCAAGGTTTACATTTGAAAGTTGAACCCAGTTGAGCAACATGTGAATCTTAGGGGTGAAAACAGTGATAAATAGACCTCTATGTAGTAAAGCCAGAATGAGTACGAAAAACTGTCAGCCTCCATAAATTAGGAACCTTTATGGGATAATATTCTATAACTGAAAGATACATTTTAACTGCTGGCATGCACACATAAATCTGAAATCATGCACAAATAAAATCATAGAATATTTGGGTAAATGTACTTTCCTAGAACAGGGAACGGTTTCAAACATATAGATTACATTGTCCAACTCTTTGTGAAGTGTTTCAGCTGCTCTCATTGACAAACCAAGTGCACAATGAAGAGTGACTTGGAATAAAAACAACTATATAAGTATAGGATATGACTGAAAAGTATCTATTGCAGGATCATATGCAGCTACTTTCCTGAATACTGTTGCATAGTGTACTAGTAACTAGGGATGTCGCGATACCGATACAAGCATCGGTATCGGGACCGATACAGGGCATTTTGACAAGTACTTGTCAAAACTTGTCAAAGTGCCCGAAGCTTGCGCTATGTTATTTTTTTACTTACCGCACCGCATCGCGCCTAGCGTCGCGTCACTGCTACTCAGGTGGGCGGCGCTCCAGGCAGTCGCCGGCCACCTAAATTAGGACCCCATCTGGAACGCCGCCCACTGGAGCAGCAGTGACGCAACACTCCTCTCCAGCTCAGCACCGCCGACGTCCTCACGTGTGAGGAAAATCGTGAGGCACCGCGATCGAGGCAACAGTGAGTAAGACGGGGCCCGGGCTTAGTTTTTTGTGTGAACAAGAACAATCTACTGCTGCAGTGCATTCTATATGTACTGTACAAGTACAACATATAGAATGAACTGCAGCAATAGATTTACAATTCTGCACTGCTAATATGAAAGGGTTAAATGATCCATAGTACATCATAGTACATAACATGTAGTTGTACTATGTATCATTTAAACCATTCATGTTAGCAGGACAGAATTGTAAATCTTTTGCTGCAGTGCATACTTTATGTACTGTACATGTACAGTACATAAAGTATGCACTGCAGCAGTAGATTTACAATTCTGACCTGCTAACATGAATAGGTTAAATGATCCATGGTACAACTACATGCTATGTACTATTATGTACTATGGATCATCATTTAACCTATTCATGTTAGCAGGGGATAATTGTAACTCTATTACTGCAGTGTACTGGACGTGTGTGCTGTATATGTACTATGGATCATGATTTAACCCATTCATGTTAGCAGGGCAGAATTGTGAGCGCATCCCACAAGCTGAGCACCGAGACGCGATGCAGTGATCCTGCCCAGCTCCGACTACGACAGGCACCACGCGAGGCAACAGGGATCGGAGTCAAACTGTGAGTGAGGGAAGCTGGGACAGGGCTGGCTGTAAATATATTGCTATAGTGTACTGGACGTGTGTAATGTATATGTAGTACATATATACAGCACACACCTCCACTACATTACAGCAATAGATTTACAATGCTGCCCTGCTAACATGAATAGGTTAAATCATGGCCCATAGTACATAACATGTAGTTGTACTATTGATCATTTACAGTCACCTGCACCCGTTTTTATCGGTAATTGGTATCGGCAAGTACATGAGGGGAAGTACTTGTACTTGGTCCTGAAAAAGTGGTATCAGGACATCCCTACTAGTAACTATAACATGAGTTCCTGCTGCACCTAAGTTACAGATTTGCAGAATTAGGATATAAACTAGTGCTCATTCACACCAGAACACAAATGGGCAAATCACTTGTTTGAGATTCTTTGCAGTTTAAGTTTGAAAGAACAACTTTAAATCGACATTAACAGCAAATTGCAGGCCAACACATACAAAATTCAGTAAGCAGTACTTTCTTCACAACACTACACCACTAAACCATGAATTTTTTCATGTCCATAAATGTTGCCTGTGCTGGAAAACTGAAGGACAGCTAGCTCTTTAGATAATTAGTTAGGTAATACATGCAGGGTCATTGTCCAGATTATGAAAACATCTTTCAAAATATGCAGGATTATTTAGTCTATTTCATGTTTTTCAAATCAAAAGTAGCTTATATTTAATCAATGTAGCATTGCAAGGTCATTTACCTTTTGCATATATACTTGTTGCCAGTCTATACCATTAAAGAACGGATGTTCTTTTACTTCAAGAGCACTGAAAGATTTAAAAAAAACGAATTTTGATGCAAGTTACAAAATTTATATTTTTTCCTTTTCAAAACCACACGCACTGAGATGTAAACAGGTCACCAAACCATGCAATCAACTGTAACATTATGTCTCATTCTACATACTGCCCAGCTCTCTTTTTCTGTACTTGCAATTCATGTGCGTCTGCATTTTAGTTTTCAATCACATACCACTCCCACAGCAAATCAAACAATACAATAAAATGTGTAATTGATTGGTAAGTTTATCCAAAGACAGTTACTACTTTATAAGGTGTTTCTATTTATTACTCGGTAGACCCTCTTTAGAACATCCTGCTTTGTTTAAAGAATGAATTCAACAGTGTGGTGGGAATGTTTCTTAGGGACTCTGAACCATAATAGTGATACAATAACACACACAGTTCATCGAGATTTGTTTTGTCCACAAACTGCTTGTTCCACATCATTCCACAGATACTCAGACAACTGGGAACAGTGGGTACCCACTGGAATACACTGAAACCAGCTTGAGAAGAAGCATGCTTTGTGGAATTATCCTGAAGGTAACAGCCAAAGGAAAACTGGCAGATAGTGGGGTATATATGGTCACAACAATACTCGGGTATGCTGTGGCATTCCAGTAATCCTCAGTTGGTATTAAAGGGCCTAATAAAACATTTTCTATGCCATATTTACCACTGCTTCCAGCCTGAACAGTGGACACAAGACCAAGAATATTACATAATCTATTTTACGGCTAAGCAGCAAATGAAACTCTTTATTGTTATCACATGATCACTGTTTAGTTTTTTTTTCTCAGTTGTTCCAAGCAGATTTACCAAAAAATGGCAAATGAGTAAAAGGCAGTAGAGGGGGTGTGTTTTTGTTTTTACACCTCAGCTTCCACAATGTGTCAGGCACCAGTCTGCTTCTGTGGTCAGTAGCGCACAGGCAGGATTGCTGGTATGGCTGTCAAAAAAAGACAAGCCATTCCACTGTGGGGCATTCATGGTATTAAAGGCGAACTATGGGGTCAGTGTTTTTCCCCATAGTTCTCCTTAGGGTAACGGGAGGACACAAACTAGCTTCCTCCCGTTACCCTAAGCTCAGTATACGTTAGAACTATGAGGTGAGTGGAAATCACTCAGCTCATAGTTCTCCTTTAAGATCACTGAACCACCAATAAATGCAAGACTCTCTTTACAGTGCATATTCCAGGCACACTAACTACTGCGGTCTGTAAGCTGTGCTATACACTACATACATCAAACTGCTCTGTAAGCAGTGCTATACGCTACATACATCAAACTGCTCTGTAAGCTTTGCACAGTGTTCATTGTCTCACCAGTTGTTGGTTTTTAAGCATTATGTCCTCAATTTTTTTTTGCCAGTTGCTTAAGAGTGCTGGCTGCTTGAAAGCCAGATAATGGGGAGGTAACTGTATATGCATACATTTTTGTTCAAAGATTTAACAGGATTCCACCACACGACCACAGCTTGTGTACTACAGAGTTAGAAGTGACATGAAATGCAAACTATTTACTACTACAAACCTGCCACCCTGGCATCCAAGTCTTTTGCTGACATCTCTCTGTAGAAGACCTTCCAATAGAGACTTCAGCTCTGGGGTGAACGAGTCTGGTAGCTCAACATTCTTCACACATTTAAAGAGAAGAAATACATTTTAACCAGAGCTGGCAATCAATAAACAGAAAAGATTACATCTTGGAAAGTAGAGATCTTTGTCCTTTAAGTTCTAATGGCTGTAACACAAAACCAATGAAGAAGCACATAGACTATTTCCCCGAGTAAACGCTTACCATAGTGAGTGTCATCCTGTCAATCTCATGTTTATCTTTGGTTTTATGCTGTCTAAAGGGACTGTGACTGCAGATGAAAAAAAAAAGAAAAAGACATAAGCTAAAATTAGTGCACAGAGACGATTACCCTAGAAAAGAAACAACCCAGGATTTACAGAGCATGTTTTTTTTACATGCAATCAAAGCTATACTATAAGTAGTGAGCTTCCTGAAACAGAATTGGGCTTTAGATCTTACAGGACCATGAGATAATATCTTGTATAGCACACTAAGCAAAGATGGTTTCCTATGATGTTTGCTGACAAACCACCATAACCAGAAAAGCTTTAAATACAAAAGTCTAACTTTTCTAAGACGCTTAATAAGGTGAAAAGGAACATGTATAATATAAGCCATAGCGAGAACTCAAAACCCATCTCACTGAGTTTTGACTAGTGAACAGAAATGTGTGATTACTAAAAGATGATGCATATCATCACTGTGGTTTGTGCTTTGCACTTGCTTATTACTTAGTGACTTTGTGATAAAAAAAAAAAAATAAGTGAACTTTGCTAATGCAAGGGGTGACCTGGAAGTGTATAGCATGCTTTAGATCCTTCAGTAAGATGGCAAAACAAAATCAGACAAAGCAGTCAGCGGGAGAAGTATTTACAAATTTCTTTACCTTTTTCGGAAGGTGGCAAAGAGTTAAAAACTTTGTGAGGTTATTATTATTATTGCTGTTTGAGTCTTCCTGTACCCAGCACAACCAATTCTCTAATTTTTAGTCTTACTGTAAAAGGTACAGTGAGTAAGGCAATATCTCTAACAGGGACATGGACAGCAGACAAAAAACTTGACAGAAGTATATACCCACTTTAATAAAAATTCAAAGTTTAAACAAAAAAAGTTGGGCTTTGTGCTGGAAATTATTTTTCATCACGCTGAAATCTCAGTTCATAAAGTATTTGCCACTTTATTATTTGTTTGCTATTATTGTACATGAAAAGCTGACTGTTAATCAAAATCATGGCATTCTTATCAGATTGGAAGAAAGATTATTTCTGGTCACTTAACTAACCTCAATGTGCATCAGTGACGTGCTGTACCTTCTGTGCTTGGTGAGGCATTCCCCCAACCCTGCCCCTAGCCCACCAACGCCCCACACACAGCCTCCCTGTCCCTCACTTGCTAGTCACTGATGAGGCATCGATGTCCTCAGTGTTTGTTTGTTTTTTTATTGGACAGCTTGGACCAATGGCGCTTTGCCATTGGTCCAAACCATCCACAGAGCTCAAGACTCTAACAGAGTAGAGGCTGTGACAGCTCTTGCCTCACTATGTTAGGTTACACAAGCAGTGGAGACGCCCGATGCTGTCTAACCTAACAGCTGTCAAAAGCAGGATGCAGTGCTGCCTGTAATTACCAGGCAGCACTCCGTCTATGACAGGTTACACAGCGGGGAGGCTTTCCCTGCTGTGTAACCTGTTACAAGCTGCTCTGAATGGAGAAAATGCTGTCAGCTTCAGACTTGAAGCTGACAGCTTTTTCCTCCATAATACTAGGTGAGGCTCTGCCTCACCTGACCGCACGTCCCTGATGTGCATCATGGTTTGTTGTATGTAACCACACAGTTAACAAATCTCGTGTTGTAGTCTGACTCTTGCTATATCTGTTCTTGTAGTTAATATTTCTAACCTTTGTTTAATCTCTTTTGTTTTCTTTCCCCCAAAATATAAAGAACACAATATGCTTCCTATACAAACAACTTTGCTGGCCCTGGATCATTTCCCAGAAAACACATTAAAATTACTAAAAAATGAAACAATCACGGCATAAACACTGGTCTGAAAATATAACAAGGGATTGTGCACACAGTATGCATTGGCAGATGCTTCTTAACACATTGTCAGTTAATTGTATCAATATATTTCCAACAATTTGTCATCTCTTACTCCAGTGGATGACGGCACTAAAGACAGTGATGCATAGAACATAAATCCTCATGTATGATTCTGGCAGTGAACACATTGGGCCCGATAAACTATACATGGTGCAGTGCCATACCAAAAGTGCACAGTGACCCTAATAAAGAGAGGTTCCTCACGGAGTGTGTTACTGGCAGAATTACCAACTAAAGGAGAGGGGGGGTGGGAAAAGTCTGAAAAAAGCTAGAACTGCTAAGCTGCAATATTATACATTTCAGTTCTTGGGTTTAAATAAACTTTAAGGAATCCATTCATAAACAATTTGCAGGGCCCTTCGCCCTGTGAATATATCTGAATATTCGCTTTGGGCAAATAAAGCCCAATACAGTAATACCTTGGTTTACAAGTAACTTGGTTTGAGAGTGTTTTGCAAGACAAGCAAACATTTCTGAAAAAATTTGCTTTGATATACAAGCAATGTCTTGCAATAAGAGCAACATTTTGTAGAAAAGCGCCACCCGAATAAGGCTGTAGCAGTGCGAGCGATGAGTCTGTTTAACGACAAAGCATGTCACATTGGATAGATTCCTTGTTAAGGTTTCACGAAATGGAAAAGATTCCATTTAGTCAAGAGATAGCAGTGATTCCGTTAGTGATAGTGAAAGTCCTCCTACACAATAATCCTCCTCTCTCTTGTCCCCCTCACACCAGCCACGAATGTACAGGTAATTGTTTTATTTTTCTTTTATATTTTGTAGAGTATTATATTACAGTACTGTATTGTAATTATTTTTATATGAATATTTTTGGGTTGTGGAATGAATCATCTGAATTTCCATTATTTCCTATGGGGAAGTTCGCTTTGATATACAAGCGCTTTGGATTACAAGCATGCTTCCGAATTATGCTCGTAAACCAAGGTATTACTGTATAGTTTTTCCCAGTTTGAATGAAGTGTATTACATTATGGGCACTAAAAGGAGTTTCTTGCTTAAAATGTAGTTAGTTGTTGTAATAATACATTATGGTCACTAGATGAAGCTGAGGAGCATAGGAAACAATACATTCAAATTGGTAAACTCCATCTAATAGCCATATTGCATTATTGCAACACTACATTTGAAATTGGAAAAATATATTAAGAACATTCATTTCTGGCATTGTTCAAGCAAAATGAATGTTCGAAGATAGTCACAGGGCGAAGGGCCCTGCAAATTGTTTAACAATAGACCCCTAAGTGTTAGGGTGCATTTTAAGGGAAAGGTTGTCTTAAATTGCATTGTAATTGTAATGTCTTCCTTATATTGTAAAGCGCTGAGCAAACTGTTGACGCTATATAAATCCTGTATAATAATAAATAATAATAATAATAATATGTGTTATATCATCTAGACACAAATGCCAAGACCAGGCATCTAATACAAGTTGTTCAATCATCTGAATATTTATTAGTGCCATATGTAGTACAAATGTATTAAGACTAATGAGCCAGCACATATCATGCACGACACAGCTGGCATCTCATGCACTTTATTGCATTCATTATGTTCAAAGCATTAGCTGCAGTGCATGTTGTCCAATACACAAACATGCTAAAATTAACACTGCCTGCAACATTACGACTGTCCGAGACCTATTGACCAGTTCAACTCCCAAAGTCCATTCTGTCAGCAAAAATTTCTGTGGGGGTTTCTATTCAAGATTGTGCTTACACAAACGTATATTTACAACACTGTCCATTTCACACTTCAGTAAATATTACCAGCTTTCTGCACCAGAGGGCAGCGTAAGACTTTTTACTTAGGTATAAAGGACATTATGCAAGGTCAGCACACTGCTGAAAGCACATCCAAGCCTCTTAAATAAATGGCCTTATTCAAATAAAATCTCCCCTCTGGAAAATCATACAAGTGGGAAATAACATATACTAAAGCATAACCTCTTCCAGCAATCATGTTGCAACAATTGGTAATATAAGATAATGTTATCTTATATTAAATATCTCATATTTAAAAAACTGCACTGAATTTTACAAGCTCTAAACGCTAGAAGGAACAGTAATGTGTTAACATTAATCTTACACACTCTCTACTGTTCCATAATTCATGGAATACACAGAAAACATTTCTAAAGTGGAGGAAATCAGTCACCTGTGTACCACAACAGACATTATGTTACAGAATGAACATTCTCCCAAACACAGCATACACCCTTGGCTGTCTTGAAGGAATGCTCCCACAGGGAGTTGGATTTATCAGGGTGACAATATCCTAAAGCTGACCTTCAACAAACATCTAAATACACATTTATATGTTCATGTGAACTGTTTACCAGCCAAGGGTTTGTAATTCAGCGTGTGGAAATATATATTTAAAAAAAATTACTTGTCCAAGCACTAAAGCGGGACAATCTAACCCTCCTGATAAAAATAATTTTAACCAAAACCGTGTTTAGTCGCAGCGGAGCTAAATGTAGAGAAAAAAAACACCTGTCCGGCCACTGGATTACAGTGCATTCAAAAAGTATTCAGACCCTCTTCACTTTTTTCAATTGTGTTATGTGGTAGCCTGATACTACAGTTGTTTAAAGTCTTTTTTCCCCCTCAATAATCTACACTCAGTATACCATAATGACAAAGTGAAAACAGAATTTTAGAAATGTCTGTGAATTTATTAAAAATAAAAAACTGAAATATCACATGTACTTAAGTATTCAGACCCTTTGCAACAACACTTGAAATTTAGCTCAGTTGTCTCCCATTTATCTTGATCATTGCTGAGATGTTTCTACACCTTGATTGGAGTCCACCTGTGGTAAATTAAATTAATTGGACATGATTTGGAAAGGCACACACCATTCTGTAGGTCTCACAGCTGGCAATTCATACTGTATCAGAGCAAAAGCCATGAGGTCAAATGAACTGCCTGCAGAGGACAGGATTATTGCAAGGCACAGATCTGGGGAAGGCTACAAAATCATTTCTGCTGCACTGAAGGTTACCAAGAGCAACCAAGAACCAGATGTTCAGTCTGGCTGAGCTCCAGAGATCTTGTGTGGAGATGGGACAAAGTTCCAGAAGGACAACCATCACTGAGGCCTCCACCAATCTGGCCTTTATGGCACAGTGGCTAGAACCACATGAAAGCCCACTTGGAGTTTG